AATGAACCTCGCACAATTTTGTTCTGAATACTGTAGCAAGTAAACTCCTACTTATATGTCCCATGAACCCAGTATATCTAACATTCTTTTCCTTATAAGCCGACCCCGTCGAAACAGCATGTTAACTGAGCCTCCTGTTAGATGATTTTGATGAAAATTATCTTGCACCTTTTCACTGAAACAGGGTCTGGATAACCGTTACAACAACAACAGGATTAGTGAGCTCTTTTACGGATAGGCGACGAGGGTCAGTTTTATTTTGAAAAGTAAGGAGGCATCGAAGTAAACAGAGAGACAAGCATATGTTATATTTCAATAAAACGCCTTTCATAAGCTTTTTTTTTATAATTTTCCAGTCGACAATCGTTTTAAAAACTAGCAGTAATCTGACATCATGTGACGATCCCATCAACATTGATACCATTCTTCCATCACTTTTTTATCCTAGTTGAACCGATCTCCCTGTTCCTCACCAAAATTTTCAAAATTATCCAAAAATTTTTTCAGATTCTTATGGAGATAGTCTAACTTTATACTCAAATTTGCTCCTAGAATCCGACAGTTTGTCCGCAGATTTTGCGCAACTGTTCGATTATCTACACAAACCTTTTCCGAGCTTCACATTTTAAAACAGTTATAACCTGTATCTTTCATTAATTGCCGTATTTGAGGACCCATTTCCAAGACAGTCGGGTCTAATCAACCGGAATGGACCCGGATTTTTATCTGGCCAAGAACTGTCAACTCGGCACCATTTCTCGAAATTACTTCAGGAGTGCTTTCTGCTGCTACAACAACACCTTCAAATATTCCACCTTTCAACTTTTCCATACTAAGTTCGGAGTTTTTTTTACAACTGTCACTAAAACAATTTCCTCCCAGTCCAACGCTTGGTTAAATTGTTTTGTTTTGAAACTTGATCGCGTATTAAATCATAGTTTCTGAGAATCCATGCGAATAACTTTTGAAATAAAAAAGAGATTTTCATTGAGTAAAATGGGACATTTGTTAGACTGTAAATGAAGATATTTCACTTGAAAGCATCAAAACAGGGCAATGGCTATTATGAGTGTCAGGTTACATCAAAATCGCACAGGTGAAATTGTGTTCGATAATCGGAAAATGAAATTTTCAAGGCAAATGTTTAAATGTTCCAAGTTGTGCTACAGAATTCGAGTGGGCTGGGCAAACAGTGGTCAACTTTTTTTATTTGAGATCCTTCTGACCGGAGAGTCAGAGGTCTTGTGAACTCTCCACCCTTAGCCGGGACGATTTGAAATCCAGGTGACTATCTGTCCATTTGCAAACGATAAATTGAGTAACAAATTACATATCGCGATGAAAGATACACGTGTTTATTGGCACCCAAGGATATTGGCATCTATGGTTTAGAAGTTTGCACGGCTACGCCCTAATAGGTTTATATGTCACAAACCACTTCAGCTATATCAACTAAACTGGTTCAGAACCATTTCTTGCACCATCTTCTACTCTGTGAAAATGGATGAAATCGGATAATATCCGCACTCTTAGGAACTACTAGACCAATATCAAACAAATTTGGGGCGTAGCACTACCTTGAAATTCTTATACTCCGCTGAAGTGGGCAAAATTGGATTACCATGAAGCAGCAATGAAGACATCGCAACACATCTTTGCAGAAATTGTGCTTTGAAGGTATGCCATCCCTTACGCCATAATTATCGAATTCGAACTATAAATTTTCAAACTCCCATACATCGAATATGTGGACTTTAATGAATATGTCTGACTTTATACCAATAATATCGGTCAATCTGCAAGATGTATTAATGAAATCCAGAAAGCATCTTTTTGAGATAATAAAGTGCCGTTGGGTCAAAAGTGTGTAAAATGTAATCAATGGTCCTAGCCTCCATATACCTAATCCAAAGATTTTCAAACTTCCGGTTGAATTTATACCGTATATATCGGTTAATATGTGAGTTATCTTAATGAAATTTAGAGAGCGTTTGTTCTAGAATAATACATCGGGATGGCAAAATTAAATAAAATCGGGTCACTACTACCCCTAGTTTAACACCCGAAAGAATTTCCCCTGCAAACTCAGAGTATAAAACATTCGGTTACACCCAAACTGAGCCCTTCTTTACTTGTTGTTCCTATTTTTAACCTACCGCTGTATGTAATATTTACACATATATATGTAGCTTCCCACAAAGTAGACATAAAGCAACAAATATATATATATCTAGGCACTTATATGTACTATTACCCTAAGGCAAAAAATGGCCGCCAACATTAAATGAAAAATCGTTAACTGTAACTAATGTAAGCTCATTCACTTGGCTCGTCTGCGGCGCGAACGCCCTTTTGGATGGACAGCAATGAAATATTTGATGAGTTTAAAGCGCAAATGAAGCGGAGCGGAATTGAAGCGCTAGGCATAAAATATAATAACTGTATTTATTTTTTTATTGTTATTTGTTTTTGCTAACCAGTGAAAGTAATGAAAATATTTTCCAAGCTCTGCTCTAGTCTCTCGACATTGAAGGATCGACTTCGCTGTTGTGTACATATTGAAAATATTTAAAATATTTCATAATTTTAATTAAATGTAAATAAAGGCAAACATTTCCCGCGTGCACTTCATTACTAAAGAACCGGGGACAAGGCGAAGCCAAAGCAATAGATATAATATAAACTGTCGGCTATGTACAGACATGCTTACAAACATATAGACGCATATTAAAATTAATGAGACTCTGGAGAAAATGTCGAAAGGCAGTGGGAATAGCAGAATATAAGTTAAAAATATAGGAAATTATTAAACAAACAAACGTCAAAAGAACTCTCACGGAAGGAGCAAACGAGGAGACGGAAAGGGAATAGTAAGACAAACAGCAGCAGCGGCCGGATTATTTAATTCTGCCCGCGAACAAGAAGTTGTACATATAATAGCACAAGCTTAAGTAACTAGGAATGATAGCCTAAATGAAGAAGCTAAAGGAAGTGAAAAGTAGTTTTGATTAAGAGACAAATCTAGCATGCATAAATGCCAAGGGAGCGACTGAACTAAAATATCTGAATGAAAAATAGAAAACACAAGAAAATACGTTAACTTCGCAGCACCGAAATTATAATAAAATTCACAGTTGCGTTTCTTATTATGCTGTAAAAAATTAAAATTGTCAAATTAAACACTTTTCGATACAAGGACTTCCGGTCAGTTTGTATGGCAGTTATTTGCTATAGTCGTCTGATATCAGCGGTTATGACAAAACAAAAAGTGTGCAAAATTGCAGGTAGACATCTCGAAAACTGAGGGACAAGTTCGCGTATATGCAGACGAACAGACAGACTGACATGGCAAAATCGACTCGTCTCTTCCCGCTGATCGTTCCACTGATCATTTCACGTCCCCGGCGTATTTTCTGTGTGTTACTAACTTCGTTGCAACCTTAATCATTCTCTGTTCAGGGTATAACAAAGTTGTGCGCTTAACAGTGTTAAGGAGTCTCAAAAGTTATGACAAACTAAAGTTAGCTAAAAATATATAAAAAAGTTCGAGTTTTTATACAAAATTATGCTCAAAAAAATTGCTTTCAACAATAAACAAAACACTTCGAAGAGGCCAATGGCAATTGGTCGCCCCTGTGTGTGTAAAGTGAGTATATGTAGTTAGAATACTTCGTTTGCTCAGAATTAGTCAAGGATCTATAGAGAGTATATTTAAACCTTACAAAACTAACGTTATATAGTACTAATACCGAATAATCCTCATTCCTGTGCCGCCCAGGTAAATTCTAGTGATTAATTATCTGCGAAACTGTTAAACAGATGCACTTACAAGTAAAGACTTTCTGATCTTAATATAACCCGACTAGATTGGATTTGGTTGGATTTTCGGACAGCGACGGCTAATTGTCCAAGTTGTTTGATAGAAGGTAAAGAAGAGTGCACTTGCCACTGTCCTAGGTAGCGTCAAGCTTTCGCAAGACGCAGGTGGAAAATCCACAGCTCACATACCTTCCGATGATTTTGCTAAAATCAAAATAACTTCAAAATATTTGTGATTAGCTCCATGGACCATGTAGATAGAGGATTTAAGACCATTTTCAGATTTTACAGAAAGTCCGCTCTACAGTTATCACCCTAAATACTTAAATTAATCTCACAATGCGAAATACCATGCGTCAGCTCTCTTAGGTATATATAATGAAATAAAAATTAAACTGTTTGAGCTCATAGAGGGCTAAAAAGCTTAGGATTTTAGAACGTCCAAAAATAAGCCTTTGCAGACTGTACTAGGGGTTAGTTTTCTGATACCAGACTTATTATTCCAGTACCGTTTTTTAAAAAGTTCCACATCTACGGTAGCTGACGCTAGAAAGAGAACATAAGAACCGGACGTTAGCCATAAGCAGAGCGCGTCATGTTTGAAAATAATATTAAGGAATTCATAAAAAAGGCATGGTGGCCTCTTCTCAGAACATTTTCAAACTCTCTAATAAACTCTATCGTAGTATGATTCGAGAACGACTCAAGTTTTGTAGAATGTTCATGGTGTCAAATTAATAAATTTAACGGGAACCCTGAAATAAGCTTGGACAAATGCCAGGTGTTGGTGTAAAAGCAATGACTCAACCGACCCATCTTTTATCAAACCTTATTATTATCGGTAGATAAGAAAACCTCTCAAAATCGTTTCGGAAAATAACAGGGCTTGTTAAACTTGGAAAAGATGAGAGCTTTGGCGGAATAAACAAAATATTTGAAACTACAAACAACTCCATAGGTATAACGTCGGTAAGTAACATTTTTAAGAGTTTAACCCCAACTTCACGAAGCTCAGGCTGAGTCATTGCTTAAGATGACAAGCAGGGCAGGACAAAATATAAGACACTCGAAAACTGTATATGGTATATGGTATCAGAAAGAAGAACTATTTACGAACAACTTTAGCTCAATGGAAAAACAGGCTTGCGGCTATTGAAAAATCAAAACTTATATTTACTCACCTTTAATTATCACAAGAAAGATCAACACGACAAGCAGCGACGGGTCCATGTCCTTAGATTTCAGCTACCGAGCAATAAACACACGTACAACTGTTGTCGATGTTGTGGGCGGGTGGGTACAAGTATGTATGTATATATTTGCGGATGAGACGATGTTGATTCAATACAATTAGCCGCAAGTACTACAGGTGCTCGAAGATAAGTTACAGGATCGACGAGATTGTGTTGTCTTTCGTTGATAGATATTATATTGCAAAAAGCGGTTATGCTGTCACTAATGTTGAGTTAAGTATTGAAAGCTTTGGATACACAACAAGAACGATGATTGATGAGCGTGTTACAAGCGATGAAGGCGAAGCAAACGACACTGAACAATGGAAGCTAACAAGTGAGCGGGATGCGTGTTAAATTCGGTTTGAGTTTTAGGCAAAAGACACAAGCGTAAGACAACGACAGCACGCGGAGTTCACGTTTAAGTCACTAGGGTACGGAGCTACTGTGCAAACAACGCAAAACTCAAATGAAGCACACAAGTTGAGTCGCGTTGAGTTGGTGCGTGGGATTTGGTGGGCGAAACACGCTGGTGACAACCAAATTGCAATTCGTCGGAGATTCAGCGAAAGCGCGTAACGACTCAATCAATACGCGCGACAATTACACAGTGTGAACCGCGGGATTTCTTCACAACGTTTTTCCGTACGGCATCCACGGCACAATTTACAAGTTAAACGAGTGTGCAAATACACGACGAGATGTGAGTGGTGGTTGGCGTGTGTAGCAGACACCTTAGGTCGTCGCGGTGTGTGCTTTTCGTATGCCGGATGCAACCCTGCGTTGTGCTGTTGCGACGAGTGCGCTGTTGCTTTGCCTGTCAATTAACTACAGCGCTATTGTCTTATTGCTAAGACTTTGGTTGTTCGCTTGAGTCCCTCGCTGTGGTTGAGCTTTGTTACACTGCTTGAGACATACGAGCCAGCAGTAGCGGAAGCTGGAGTAGTTCTTTTTATCGTTTTTCTTACGAAATACAGGAAGCTTCTGCTTTTTATTTACTCACAGTTGCTGCCGTGAGTAGTTAATAGAGTGGCAATAGTTAGCGCAATATATGCGACGGCTCGGGCTGGTATCTTTGCGCTAACTGTCAAGCAAATGTATGCGCTTGCGGTTGAACTTCTCTTTTCAGCGTGCTTAGTTCGGCGGTTCGCGTATTTGCACTGTGACTTTCTCTAACTGTCAACGCAAGACAACTTTTGCCAACAATCACTTCTTGCGGTCGCAAGCGTGCTACGCAGCCTCAGTTTTGTTTGTTCGCCGTCAAAATTTGTCAGCCTTCAAGTCTTCGAGTTTAGTTTGACCTTTGCCTTTGTCTTTGACGCTGTATATTTTGAACCACTTAAAGCTTGTTGTTTACATTTGCTGGCTCTGCCTTGCTGTCGGCTTTGTTTGTCTTGCCGTTTCGTTTTTTGTTTTTTTTTTTGGGCTTCTGCTCTCTGTTCTTCCTCTTCTTCCTCTCGGCTTTGTTCCACACGAAAACTCACTTCTCGCTCGTTATTCGCTTCAACGCGTTTGCTTATAGCCACACACACTTTGTTTTTGTGGCTGTGTTAGGTTACCGAAATTACTTATTCCTCGGAGATTGCTACCGTTATTTCCGTTAGCGCTTTGATTTGTATTATAAATATTTTCTTTGTATTATAATTTAGAAACGCGTGAACCGTTATGAATTTTTATTTGGCCCTCGAAATATTTTTAAAGATTTTAAATATTATCGCCGTAGCTTGCGATATTTTGGTCATTGGTTCTTTGTGTGTGACTCATTAGGTTTTTCCGTGTCTTGTAGACGCGTGGTTATGTACTTAAATGCTGTTATCGAATGCCTAGTGATGTGTTTTGATGATTTGTTATGTATTTTTAGTACCAATTTTTCAACTTTTAGTACACTAATTAATCGTAGTACACTACCACTATTTTCGTTTAATATGTATTAATTTTTTTAAATTTTTTAGCACTAACTTTAATTATAATTTGCACTAGTTGTTGTTTTAATTTTTTAGCACTAATTTCATAAATTGAGTACTAGTTTATACAAATTTTAAACTATGTTGTACAGACTTAGCGCCAATGGTTTATATATTTACTATTATTTTTATTTTTGGTTACAATTTTTTAACTTTAGTACTGATTTTATTTATAGTACTAATTTTGTAATTTATATATATATTTCTTTTTAGTAATATTTCTCCATTTTTACGCTATTTTCATTTTTGGCTCTAATCTTTTAATTTTTCTACTTTTTTTTAATTTTAAAACAAATTTTTCTAATTTAAGATCCTTTTAATTTTAGTACTAAGTTTTCTAGTTTTAGTACAATTTTTATTTTAGTAAATTTTAATTTAACACTAATTTAATTATTTTAGTACTATTTTTTTCTAGTATGTTCACTTTTTAGTACTATTTTATTTCTTTACTTTTAATATTAATATAAGATCTATTGCACGCTTATCTACTATGTGGGAACACAATTTTTACAGCATCGTTTTAATTTCTTAAATTTAATTTGAAATTTTATTTTACTTTGCACTTGTTTTTTACTAGATGACGCTTTAAGAAACCGGTTTAATTATGAGTAACTACAATTGTACTAATTTATTTATTTTTAATATTTGCATTTAATCGTTGTTGTAGTTTTGCTTTAATTTTATTTTTCGGGTAGGTAAACCACGTTCTGGCAGTTGCGGGAGCAAATTGTGCGGGCTGAGTGTACTAAAACGAAAGAAGAAAACAAAATGTTTAGTAAAATATTTTTGTACAATTCAAAAAGCATCTGAAAAATAAAGTTAGGCTATTGAATTTATATTTTAACAATTATATCTGTGGTTGTTTCTGTAATTTTTAAATTATTTTATAATATGTACAAGTATGTACCTAAGTGAACCTAAGTTTAGAACCTCAAAGTTTAGTAAAAAATATTTTCAAATCGCTGAAATCGCAGTAAAAAAAATAGTACCGAGATAAATATAATAAGGCAATAAATTATTTTTACATTGTTTAACCATTCACTTACTTACTACCACCATTCAGCAGGTGGCCTCTATCGAAAAAGTGTTCACGTCCTGAACACAACAAGAGTCTTGCCTATAGTTAGGCTCATATTAAGGTTGACTATAAAAGTACACAAATTTGCGATCATTCATTGCACAATAAGCGATTCGTGAATAAAAAATTGTACCCTAAACTAAATATTTGTAATATTTATATTATTTACAAACGTAAAAAAATATTTCAAAGTTTTAAACAAAAGGCAGCAAATCAATATAGCACTGCAATTTTTCATAAAAAAAAAACCTAACACCCTTACTAGTATGTATTTATGTAACTGTAAAATGTTATTGTAGCTGTAAAATGTTGGCTGTGAGTGCCTTGTTAAAAATGTTTGCCAAAACAAAATATTTATTGAACATTTGGCGCACAAGTGCAACATTTTTCACACTTAACCTAAAACTGCCATAGACACATGTAGTGTGTGGTATGCAACCCTGAATGGTGAAAAAATTCATGAAATATTATTTAATTGCAATAATTGTGAAATGTGTTCGTGAGCTGTCAAAAACCATTTTTAATAGAGATATGTTGCACAAGTGAAGGTAATAAATGCGGATCGTGTATAAAAGCGTTAAAATTTGAAAAAGTTTAGTACTGAGCAATAAAAATAATGTTTTTATAAAAACTGAACAAAAATAGAATAGATAACTTTAACCAAAGGTACTTTAAGTTGCAAACAATCAGACTTTGACACTCAGAAATCAGTCATTGCTTACAAGGCAAGCTTTAGCAGTGAACTGTGAGAATCAAAACCAAACCCGTTCGGTAAGATAATTATTAAAAAACTAACATGCTAATATGGACGTTACACCCATTTTTAAACAGGAGATCAAAAATTAGCATAACTAACCAAATGTATATTATCAAGTCTATTTTCCAGGCGATGGTATTTTATGTGGCGCCCATGTGGGCCGATTACGAACTCCCACATCAACAAACTTCAAGCGGCGCTAAATAAAATATTAAAGATAATTTTAAACCTTCCATGGCAATTTTCCACCTCGGAGTTACATGGCAGAGCTTATTTTGAATTAGTCGCTGTTGGATTGAAGTGATTAAATAAGAGGTTTAACGATCGTTGTGAGCATTCCATGTATTCTTATATTAATGACTTAATAAAATATATTCTTAGATATAAATTAGAAATAAGCAGGTTAAGCCAATTTTCAAGGTTTTTTTTGTATATACTATACTAAAAAGTTATTACGACGGTAGTACATTTCATATTACATTACCAACTGCCATTACACTTTCAACATTTAATAATTTCATTAAATTGCGTAGTAGGAATGGAACTTGTAATTGTAATGATAAATAAAATGATAGTGGATTGTAAATTACATTACCAATTACCATTACCCTTTTTAATTTAATAACATAGTATAATATTAAGTAAATTTGAACAATATGTATTGTAAGAATAATGTAATCATATTTAAATAAATGAAATTAAGTAATAGAGTAATAAAGGTAATGCTGATACTGGTTATAGCATGCTAATGGTAATTTTTGCAATAATTTCAAGTATTGCAATTGTGATAACTTTTATGATTTTAAATGTAATTAAAATGTAGTCAATGATTGCAGTAAGAAAATCGGTACAAAATCTTGTATGGTATCAATTTGTCATACCACTCCTTTAGTTCGATCAACAACGCATCTAATTTCCATGTCACGACAAGCTATGTGACCAACAGGAATTTCATTAGCTAACCAAGTTATACCACAAGCATTCTTGCAAGCCCGCTGCAGCGCAATTATTCCGCCACATACTCCTACGGCAGCCACATATCGGCATACAGACATGTAAAATTGCATTTGTCCTTTGGGACTTGGACTGGGACAAAATCAACATTCATCAAATGATTGCATGATTGAAATTATGCAAGCGCGTGCTTGTCGGCTAGCTAGAAATATAGAATGTAAACATTAGGGTGGTAATAAAATAAGGGGAACAATTTTAGAATCGTATTTATTTGACGAAAAAATAAACTAATGTATAGAGGAGTACGAAGGACTACGAACTACTGCTTTTCATACCAGGAACTTGATATATTAAGTTTACGGCGAAGTTTGATTGAAATACCCTAAACATTGCACATTATATCTATCTGTCCGCCTCTCTGTATTTACGAAAAACATATCTGTTTTTGAGAAATTGGTCTGAAGTTTTTCATACGCCTTTTGCTCTTTAAGGAAGCTACTCGTTTATTATAATCGCCGATATTGGACCAAGTTATTATATGGAAAATTTTTTTATTTGGCAATATATTTTTAAAAAATTTGACATGGGTCATTGTTCAAAGCAGTTCTCTAATCTCCGAATATATTGTTCAGATCGAAATACTATAACATATAGCTGCCATACAAAGTGATAGATCATAATCGAGTTAAAAATATGTTTATACATTTTTATGTTATAAGAAACGCAGCTATGAAGTTAACGGTATTTTAGTGAGTTTTTGTTAGACAATCTGCACTTTAACAACATCCTTAAGAAACTTAAATCGGGCCCAAATTTTGCATGCAAGAACTTTGACCTTGGTTATGCAAGCTGAACGGAAAGAACTCAAAAAACCATCGATTTGAAGCTTTTAGTACTGCCTTAATAAATATATATCCTGATATAAATATCCATAAACAAACAAACTAGCGCCGCCCTTAGGCCCTTATACTCTTTTAAAGAATAGGAAAATACATACGTATATTTATATATATATATATATATATATTATATGCTCAAATACGTAGCGGCTGCGGAATATACTCCTACGAACTGAGCATTTCTACTTTGCAGCTACAGGACCGCTTACGCCTACAGCGCACCACGTGCATCAACAGCTGAAAGGTAGGCTGCAGCAATGAAGATTTCTGCAGAATTGCTCGACTATCAACAAACTAGCACCCAATAGCATATCTGGAATCAGGCATATAAACATCAGACATACATATGTGCATGTGAACATCGCCCTTACAACACCAACACCAGTAGCGACATCCCACAATCGCCGTCACTATCAATATTCATAATCAACAAATTGAGGTCACATGCTACTCTTGGCAGTTGCCTGTAGGTGTACCTATATATTAACGCGCATATACAGCGGCCTACATGTATAAGCATGAAGGCCAGCCAAAGGGTTTGATGCGCTACGAGCTAGATGATATTGCCCACTCTTTTGACGCTCCTGTGCATCAACCACCTCCGCATACACACGTGCAGAGATATTTATTGATATGCGTCCTCAATGGCATGACAGGTGAACGCATACTTAAGTCACGCGTCACCGTGCCGCCAGCGCCATCGCAATTTCTCATCACTTTAGGCATTGCAAATTGTTTATGATTTCTTTTTAAGCTTCGCACAAAGTGCCGTGCACCTTTGTATGCCGCTCACTCAACTGTAAACGCTCTAGAGGGTCCTGTTCAATTTTTTTTTTACTTCCAATATAAGCTTTTATTACTATCATAACTTATTTGCAGTTGTTTATGGCGCAGTTATTCTCTCATTAAGTGCTTGCTAAACTATGAAATTCTCAAAGCTCTACATTCAATTGCTGCTCGTTTACGTGAAAATGTCACCATTTATTAGATTTGTTCATCTATACTTGCTTTTGACATAATTAAAAGTAGTTGTATGACATTCTAGCGAACACTTTAAATTTTATTTGACGAATTTTTTAAAAGGCCATACAAATATAACGGCATCTCAATGCCGGAAACTAAAGACAAGCTTGGTTAAGTTGGAAAAGCTAAAATAGATTCCACTAAACCGAGTTACTGAGAGCAGGAAGATATGATGACAACGCCTAGGAACGTAGAGCGACCTCTTACCATTTCTATTTTGACAGGTCGCTAGCTTCAGAAGTTTGTTATATCATTATATGGTATTCCGTAGCCAGAGTTTTCTACTTAGGAACCTTTAAAGGGTTATACCCTCATGTGAGTCAGAAAAATTAATTTTTTTGTGAATTTGTTTGTGGAATTAACAGAATTTAATGTACAGAATATTATAAATAATCAGCGAGTCATTTTCAAAAAATTTTAGTTCCCTTGATCTCATAGCCGATTTCCAGGAGAACTTCTGAAAAAGTATCTGGCGAAGAGGACAATTTCCTGCTAAAAATTATCTCAAGTACAAAAATCTATAAGAAACAAGTAAGGAAGTTCTAAGTTCAGGTGCAACCGAACATTTTATACTCTCGCAACTTGCAAGGATCAAAGCCCGGGAAAATACTTCAGGTGTTGGCAAAATTTATATTAAAGGAAGTATTAGTCCGATTCAGCCCAATTTTGACATAAAGACATACTATTATCGAGAGTCTCATTTATTTATTTTATTATATGAATTTCAGTTATATATCTTACACATTGACCGATATTTTCGGTTAAAAGTCAACTATAGCCACTGGGTTTTATATATTCAGTACCTAGATGCTTGACAGTTTTGGTTCGATTTAGAAAATTTTAAGTCACGCAAAGTGATACAATCATTGTTGCAGATGGAAATTAAAATGGTTATATGGGAAATATAATATGTAATCCGATTTCGCCCATATTCGCACTATAACATAGAAATACAAGTATGAGAAGAACGTTATGTGTCGAATTTCGTTGAAATCGGTTAAGCAGATCGCAAGATAAGGGTTTTCACCTAGAAA